TCGCTGAATCATTGCCGCCGTCGGTTTGGAGATCGACTTTTGTGGACTGAATAGATATTACAACGCTTGATGATCGGTTACGATGGTGAAACGCAATTCAAACAGGTATTTGTGTAGGCGACGGACGGCCCAATATACAGCTAGTGCTTCTTTCTGCGTCTGCGAATATCCTCGTTCTGAATTGTTGAGTAGACGGAAGATGCAGACAATCGGACATCCGTTCTGTTCGAGGATGGCACCAATGTCAACATCTGATGCGTCGGTGATCAAAATTGGATGTTTTGTCGGAGAGAGCGAGGCGAGCAATGGTCGGCCAATTACCATCTGAAAGATTTCACGCAGAATTTGTTCACACTCGGCAGTCCATTTTCATTCCGTAGTCGACTGGGCAGCAAACAGCGGTTGGGCTTTTGTGGTGAAGTTCGGGATGAAACGCGAATAGTATTGGAGACATCCCATGATGGATCTGAGTTGGTTTNNCAATGGGCGGAGGCGAGTTGGATCAGGGCGATAGCCTTTGCATCCACTGTTAAGCCCCAAAGAACTGAACATGCATTTGGAAGCGCGAATTGACACGTTCATTTGAGCCAACCGCTCCAGTAGTTTGAGGAGTCTATCGTCATGCTGAGCCTTCGTTGTACCCAAATACAATGACGTCGTCCTGGTAAGCTACCACGCCATCGGGACAGCAAATGACTTCGTCAATAGCCGCCTGGAATATTCCTGAAGATGTGTGAAGAAAGTAGGAAGTTGCATTGATATAGTCCCCACGGTGTGTTGATGGTGGTCAATTGCTGACAGGCTGGAGCGAGAGGAATCTGAAGGTACGCATCAGCCAAGTCGCTTTTCGAGAAGAATGCGCTGCCATGCAATGCTTTTATGAAATCCTCCGGTTCCATAGTAGTAGCCGCACACTTTCGCAGCCGCGGTTTGAGGGTTAACCGGTAATAGCCACAGATTCGCGGTGTTTTACCGTCACTATTGATCACGATTACAATTGGCGTTGCCCACGTACTGGATGTGATTCTGGTGGTCACGCCGTTGCGCTCCATTTTCTCAAGGGTCTCCAGCACGCCTTCACGTTGGCCATAGGGGATTTCGCGTCGTTCCAGGAAAATCGGCTCACTGTCAACTTCCAAATTGGCCGGCTGCGCGTTCATGCCTCTTGTATTGTTGGAAAATTTCACGATCAGGCGCTGTAGACTGGTGTGCACACTGGACGTAGAGCTTGCATGGAGTGACACAGAATGGTTAAATGTACGAATGGCGGTTAGGACAAGTATGGACGGACTGTTTTTGGCACTTGGGAAGCGAATGGGAACAAGGCGATGTTTTGTGGAATATACTATCAACGAAACCTCACCAATCAATGGTACTTTGTGTCCAGTGACACCAAGGATTCGCACAGTTGTCGGACAGATTTCGGCGTGGGGACAGATTGACCGAAGCACAGCGATAGAAATGATAGATTCCGTGCTTCCCGAGTCAACAATGAATTTGTGCGTGTTACCAGACTGTAATGTCATATCTCTGTGTAGGAATTGAGTGCATTGGATTTCGGATCGTAGAGAGAGCACAAGGTTTGTGTCATTCGCAGCAGTTGGCTGTGCAAGATTGCAATGGGGTTGTTTACACTTTCTCCGAATGTGGCCAGTTTTCCCGCATGCATGACACTCGGCATTTTGGAATCGGCATTTGGAGCGCAGATGGTAAGCTCCACATGACAAACACGGATTGATGCTTTTCTCATTGCCAGAAGGGTCTTGCTGCAGCTTCGGTGCACGCTTGACAACTGGAAGTCGGTTCGGTCGTATCTTCTGCGGTTGAAATAACGTGACTGCTTCGCTGGAGGTAGCTCTTAGCATATCATCGTGTTGCTCAAAGATTTTGCAAAAGTCAAATCCTTCTTCTCTATTAACTTCCGTTGGAGAGCCAGATTATTGATGCCAGCCGCCAAGCGCCCACATAGCTGTTCTTCCAGGCAATCACTTCAGTTGCAGCGTGATGGCTGTTTGTTCAGCTGCAGGGTGAAATCACGGCAGGAAACATGAATGGCACGAATCATGGAGTTGAATTTGGCCCTTTTGTGTGCTTGGAATTCAGTGGGCGGCAGGTGGTTGAGCAGCAGCTACTTCAGGGATTCGTATGGTAGTTTAGCCGGCGCCTCAGGGAACACCAGGTTTTTCAACAGGGCTTACAGGTCACGGCCGCCAGCATTAAGAATTAGGGCTGATTGATTCTGTACACCACCTTTGCGAATACTGCACCACAGCTCGAATCGTTCTACCCATTCCTCAATCTCAGTTGGGTTTTCCTGCAGGTTCAGTTGCTCAATCGTTGCAAGCTCCATCAAGCGACGCCAATTTGTAATAATTGTAGTAGTAGTAGTAAGCACGGAATTCGGAATGCAAACCACGCAATAGGAACCACCTAATACAAATGAAGGATCAGCTGTCACGGACTGGATTACGGAAGCACTGGACCGCAATGGCCCGAGCTTGCAGTTTCTCAAAATTACACAACTGAACCAAGACATTTGGGTGGATAAGCGTTCCGACTGCTCGCTATGTGCGAGGGTATTTTCAGGTATGTTTTAGGGATCACACAGACCTGCTGCTGTCATGTCCCCGCTACAAAATCCTCTTGACCCATCTGCTAAGCGGGAAATGTTGCACTTCACTTTAACAAATTTAAAGATATAGCCATGTTCGACTTGTATTTTGTGTGAATAAACTCATCTGTTATTACGTAACCATTATCTTCTCACTTCGGTCCATGAGTACTTCTCTATTTGGCTTGTACACTGTATAGCTCCTTCTGTTTCTGCAAACACTCGAACCGAGTGCAGGTAAGTTTCATATTCTAAGGAACAATGGTTGTTGTTGGGCTTGGATTTTACTTCTGACATGAGCTTAATAACTCTGTGGCTTGTGAGTCAAGTGATTAGTTTAA